GTTACGCATTGACATTATGAGTTGGGAACTGTTGGTTTTTTTGCTGTGTTGCTGTTCACTTATCGTCAAACGTTATGCTTATTAAATGAATTGAAACTTTTTTTGGCTTTCTTTTACTGTCAAACGTTGTCTTTATTATTAAATGAGTTGAAACTTTCTTTTTCCCTTCACTTACTGTCAAACGTTATGCTTATTATTAAATGAATTGAAACTTTTTTTTTTTGTCGTTCACTTGTTGTCAAACGTTACTAAACGCATAAGGTGAAACCTTAGTTTTTAAATTTTTTGTTGCTGTTCATTTATCGTTAAACAGTACGACTATATATATATATGTAAGAGTTGAAAACTTTGTTTGGTTTACTTTTTGTTGCTGTTCACTATTGTCAAATGTTACTTTTATGATTTGAAACTTTTATTTATTTATATTTTTTTCTGTTCTTTTATCATGAAACTTTATGCATATATGAGTTGAAGTTAAAACCTCTGGTTTTTTGGTGCTTTTTGGTGGGGGTTTTTTTGGTCACTGTTCACTTATCTTTAAATGTTACACATGAGTTGAAACTTAAAAGAATTAATTTTTTTTTTGTAGCTCACTTATTGTCAAACAATATACTTATGTCTAGGACCTTTTGGTATCTCCTGTAATTTTCTTAAAATTTCTGTGGGCTGCCTTCCTTTTACTCTAATGCGTTGGTGATTGGCGGTTGGCGATGCTCTTGTGTGGTTTTCTTCTTCTTTCCTATCAAAAATCTATTGTCCTTGTCTCTCCTCCTTCTTTTTTGTGTTTGTTACTCTTTTGTAACACCTCTAATCTTCAGCGCTTATATGACTTTATTGTGTTGCAAGTACTGTAAAACACTTACTAAAATTAAAACTTACTCTAATTCTAATGCTGTGTTTGCCGTCGTGAGTGGTTTCACCTACAAGTGGATGATTGTGGTCATTTTGGTGTGTGGTGGTGACCACCAGAGTAGTTTCAGCTGTTACTATGTGATGTGTGCACACGCAGTTGTAATTCTATGCCTTGCTTGCAAATACATCATGTAGGTAGGCGGGACGAAATTCTAGCCTCTTACTTAACCATATCCGTACTTTGTGTTTTACTATCGTATCCATACGACGTGGGGGACTCTGTGCCACCACTTAACCCTATCCGTACGTCATGTTTTACTCTCGTATCCATACAACGTGGGGAACTCTGTGCCACCACTTTCCAAAGAGGAAATTTACTGGTTAATCCGATCCGTACGCTTTGCATCTATAGCAGTCTGTCAAAATGATTTTTTGAGAAATACAGAAAGTTTCAAAAAGATCTTCGTACTAGAAGTATTCTAAAATGTGAAGAATACAACCACAGGGGTACAAAATGACCCCAGGGCGTATGGATTGGGTTAAATGTGGCTGAAGTGGACACTGGCTTTTAAAGAGGTTGACAAGCACTTCTCTAACAATAGGCGTAAGAGAACCACTGTTAGGAGTTATTTCTCAGGCTGCCCTTTTGTTATTTTGGCTAGGCTTTTACTAGAGCATCCTTCTCTCTAAGTTCCATCAGACACTTGACACGGATAGGTTGGTGGTGTTTCTGGAAGGTCCGTGGGTGGTTGGCGGGTGCTCTGGTGTGGTTTGCTTCTTTTTTCCAATCAAACATCTATCGTCCTTATCTTCCCTTCTTCTTTTTTTATGTTTGTTACTCTCTTGTAACACCTCTAATCTTCTGGCGCTCATATGACCTTATGCAGTTGCGAGCGCCATTAAACCTCTACTAAAACTAAACTAACGGTCATACTTCTTTTGTTGCGCTCTGCCCATCTTGCTTTATCCCCCTGCACCCACTGGCTGTTATTCCAGTACTGTTGATGTGTTTCTCTTTACTCAGACTAAGCAAGCTCAAACACCTGGTGTTTTACTTTCCCATCGGTGTACTTGTATGAGAGCACGCTATCTACTTGTATGGGCGTTTTTGTTTCTATGTACCTGTTAACCCACTATTTACCCAAACAAAACATAGGTCCTCCAGGTTTTTGTATATATCTCTATGTACGTCTTTACCCAAACAAAACTTAGGTCCTCATGTTCTTGTATCTGCCTCTTTACCCAAACAAAACATAGGTCTTCTCGGTTTTTGCATCGATGTGCTTCTTTACTCAAACAAACATATGTTCTTGCATGGAACAGTTTAATACCAATTCAGTGGAGTGTGCTTAAACCGAACAGCGTTAATCCAAAAACAGCAGTGCACCAAAAGAAAATGTAATCCCCAATTTTGGGGGGGTTCTATTTGGGATCAAGACGTCACAGGGTCATTTCGTCACACCCCAAATCCAGAAGGATTTCGTCACACGCTTACAAACATCAATATAATATATATATATGGCATAGGCCCTGACCCTTATCAATTGAAAATTTCAGCATTCCTAATATGGAAAATGCATTATGGCGGGTTACTTCCATGGAAACGCTTCCTTTCTTGAGCTATAACAATTTTTGAGAGATAAGGAAAGTCATTTCGTCACACATAATTGATTAGGATTTGACGCAATGACCGTGTGATGAAATGACCGGTTCCCCTTTTCTCAACTGTAAACTCGGCTAAATGGAAGAACATCTGGAGGTTTGGCAGATTTCAGTTTGAGCAGACTGTTTTGCAAAGAATACTTTACTTTTTTTTCCTCCGATCCAGTGGTTATCCGAGTTCTAGCTGTTTTAGGCTCTCGATATATGGCAAAGAATTTACAGGTTTTTATTAGGTGTGTTTTGTCGCTGTGTAGAGTATTTTTGATATCTGGGGAGGCAGGTAGGTAGGTGCTATTCAGGTCGCTATAAGTGCAGGGCAGGTAAAGAGGTAGAGTGATAGGCCTACTGTTTCATCCTGGCAGTCACACAACAGGCAGTCGGGTGGGTGTCCTTGTGGATGCTATTTAGGTAGGATGAATTGTGTTCGAAGGTCAAAAATAATTTTTGCAAGAAATAAACAAACTAGTCTAATGAACGGAATACGTAACTTGTCAGTGTGAGTACATGTGTGTATTTTTGTGAGTGACATAATTATATATATATATTTGTAACTTTCAAAATGTCTCAGTTTCTTCACATTATACTATGTATTATGTGTATCATGTATTTTTTTTTCTTTTTCTATTAAAGAAATTGATGCTGAGGAGTTTTTGTGGATGGTTGGCGGGCGCTCTGGTCTAGTTTGCTCCTACTTCTTCTTTTCTTTCAAACATCTGATTCTATCATCCTTATCTCTTCTCCTTCTTTTCTTTGCATTATGTTGCTCTCTAAAGTAACACTTCTAATTTTCGGCACTTATATGATCTATTTATGTCGTTACAAATGCCGTAAAACTCTAAACTAAAATTCAGAAATCACTAAAGGAGTTTTTGCCTGTTTATCTCCATGCCGACAATCTTCAGCACATTGTAATGCTGATTGACTCGATTGTTTCTTTGATTGAAGTGTTTGTTCCCATTCACCGTGGTGGTGATTGGTGTGTGTGTGTGTGCCTAGTGGAATGATTCTTTCTTGGATTTCATGCTTTGGTGTTGTTCATTAGGAGACTGTTGTCCAGTACTTTTATTTTAATAAAAAATGAAAAAGGAAGATTTTTGTGTTTTTTTTCATGTGTTATTTTATCATCTGCAAAATAATAATAATAATAATAATAATAATAATAATAATAATGTGTGTTTATAGGCACAGAGTTATTTAGAGGGATTAAAACATTTTTATAAATACTTTGCTTGAGGTTTAGTGGGTGGTTATAGTAGGTCATTCTTGTTTTCTTTCCATCTGTTTGTCTTGCTTTTTCCCTTCACTTAATGATCAGTAGCATGTTGATGTGCTTGTCATTACTTAAACAAACATGGTGCTGCCAGTAGGGGTAGGGGTCAGGCTCTTAGACTCGTAACTGTAAGGTCATGGGTTCAGATCTTGTCAGGGGCCCCAACGTTGTGTCCTTTCGAAAAACACTTTTCATGAATTTTCCTCACTTTACCCAGGAGGGAGTGGGTACCCAGCTATAGATAGCCTTGTCAGTTTGTTAGTTGAGCACATTATTAATCAGCTGCTTGCACTGAATGCTTCCCGGGAAGCTGAGAATGTTTCCGAGTGTTCTAGGGTCTGCTGGGGTAATAATATTATAGTGCAAAGTGCATGGAGCTTGCTGTCGAGAGGGGCTATGAGCTAAACAAATGCTGTTTATTATCATCATTAGGTTCTACTTCTTTACTGTGCTTCTGTTGCTGCTCAGTCCGACTTTCCCTCTGACACTGAATTACAGTGGGTGGTTGGCGGGTGCTCTGGTGTGGTTTGCTTCTTCTTTCCTATCAAACATCTATCATCTTTATCTCCCCTCCTTCTATTTTGTGTTTGTTACTCTCTTGTAACACCTCTAATCTTCTGCACTTATATGACCTTATTGTGTTGCAAGTGCCGTAAAACTCTTGCTAAAACTAAAAAAAACGAATGACTAGTCTGGTGGCTGTGGTGCTATGGTCGACCTTTGGCTTTTGAGTGTAGAAGATACAAGTTCAATTTCAGCAGCTGTGAGGAAGAATTTATTGAACAAGTTTCCCCCATCTTCTTTCTCCTGTGGTGTTGAATCACTCTCGACCTGGTTTGATTCTAACAGGCCGAGTTGAAGTAGTTTGTCTTCTCAATGGTCTAAATTGCGTTGATGGGGGTTGAAAATATTTACAGTCATTGTTCTGTGACCTAAATTGGGTTGATGTGTTTTTGTTTACTCAAAAATTTTGAGATTCATGACCAGTGACACAGGAATAGGGTACTATGAATAAGTGGGTGGTTGGCGGGTGCTCTGGTGTGGTTTAATGCTCCTTCTCCTTATCAAACCTTGATTGTCCTTTTCTCTCCACATTCTTTTTTTGTGTTTATTACTCGCCAACACCTCTAATCTTCGGCACCTATATATATGACTCAAATGTTGCATGAAGGGCCTTGAAAGTCCAATTAAATCAAATAAGGAGAAACAATAACAATTTTACGTAAAATATTAAGTTTAATCATAATTGATGGCAACGAAAGTACAGGACATTCACATTAAGTAATTAATGAAGTGAGGAAAGCTTGTGATCATGTTAGAATGATACGCTGTGGTCGTAGCAAACGAAAACAGTCACAAAGGGAACGGTTCCTGGAACTTTCTACTACAGCCCAACTTTGACCAACTGTCAGAATGTCCACAATTCTCAAGGCGTGTAGCTAAGAAAGGAAAAAGAGTAGGTTGGAAGCTCAAGCGTGAATTCCATTACAAATCAATGGCGGAAATTGTGTTGACCAAGAGACTTGCTCATTGGTTAGACTACAAACAAAGAAAGAACAGGGTTATCAGAAAAGCACATTTAACTGTTTTTAGGATAGTAGGACGTCTACGGTATACATTGAAAAACAAGTATGATCCGAGGGGGTAAAAAAACCAAACTTCAAACTTCTTGAAAGAATATTTTCTGACGATGAAGAAATAAGTTATATAATAAAACAGGGAAATTCCATTGATTTATAAGCGAGGTGGAAAACTACACATGGACTTAATCATTTCTTGAAAATGAAAACACAAACTTCATTGACAACAGACAAACATTAATTAAACAAATTACCACCACAAGAGAATCAAACACTGAAATGTAAACAAAGAACACAGTCATTAATGTCAAGGCTCCCACTAGAAAGCATGCTGTCAGATGAAAACAAGAAAGATCTCATTTAAAATCAAATTAATATTACATTTAGTATGCCCTGAGTGGGAAGAGCAAATCGTGTTAATCTAAAGTGTAATATCAAAGCCAATGGGTGGAGCAGCCACACTATATATGTGAGAAATCTGAACAAAGTTATTGTTTTGCTGCACAAGAAAAAAAATCAACAGCATCCATTTAATAACCGAATAAAAGGAAGACCAACATAAATTCACTTACGCTTTCTTTCATCTTTCTTAATTAAGGATTTCAGAAAACTCTTGATATGAGGCTGATTTCAGAGAGATACTATTTCTACCTCTTTGCTCTATATTTCAGACACATCTTTCACAAAGCTTAAAGAGTAGGCCTACACTTCCAGAACATTCCTTTACTTTATCCCGTTCTCACAACACCGGACCCTCCACGGACACACGGCACACTGTCACAGCTGCTCTCCACTTGATCATAGCAATATTGGAAAAGCTCAACATGTGGAAAGCATCAAGCAAGTTAAAAAAAACAAAACAACTTTCCATGCTCTGTCACTTTCAATTCCAGGATTTGAAAGGAATACACAAAAACTATTTAACACCTCGCAAACCTAAATCAGCCCATGGCCTATCAACATGTAAATGGTGTACTTTTCAGGCGGAAGCAACATCGATATTTTTTCTCGGGTTGGTGTATCAAAAGGATGAAAAATATATTTTTCTTGAGCTTGAGACTGTTAACAGTCTTTATAGTTTCTGCTAATTCATCAAAGTATTCTTTTGAGCTTTTTATTTTTTTCTTTTTCACTGCATGCTGCTATTTTGTGGTACAAGACGAATAAACATAGCTGCTTGAATCAAATCTGTGAAGGCAAACTGGTTGTGAAAGTTAAATAACAATTCATAACTAGAAAAGTAAGGAATAACAAGTCTATCTGTGCAGACAGACACAATGCTGCAACAACAGCTGTGTAGGTGCCTTAGCTACGATATTACAAATGACAAAACTTGATGTATGGTTCCACACCCTCAGACATATACCAATACAATGAATAAGCCTTGAATACTGAGGTCAACACAAACATGGTGCTGTATAGTGATATAAAAAAAGGACAGGAACAAAATTACAAATTCAGTTTACGTGGTCAGATAATAATAATCATAAATTCGAGTACATTACCGAAGGTTGAAAACCCCTAGAATTTTGGAGAGATACAAATAACAATGGTATATCTAAAGCAAAACTTGAACTTTGATAAATTCATCATGAGCATTAATGCTGTCCGACAGACACTGACGACAAAAGTATAAGAAAATGCAAAGGAGTCAAGGCACTCTCAAGCAAAATTGCATCTTCTTCGCGACAAACTGTAACATTCTCTGGTCTTGTAAGTTGAGCAGCTGAGCAAGGGAGGGTTTGACTCTTTTTCATATGCTAAAAAAAAAACAAACATGAAAAAACTCTCTACATCCTGATGAAGGCTTGAACGCACAAGGGGAGAGCCAGGAGCGACGACAAGGCGAAGACAGAAGCTCTGATGCTGGGGCTTCCATTTTCACCATTTCCTACAGAACATAGGAGTAGAAAGATAAGAACATAAATTAATTCATACACTGTTACTATTATATAAATATCATCAGAGAAGAAAGATAGTTTAGTTTTAATAAGAGTTTTACGGCACTTGCAACACAATAAGGTCATATAAGCGCATAGAGCATTGCATAAGTGGATTGTGCTATATAAATGCAATCCATTATTTATTATTATATAAGTGCCGAAGATTAGAGGTGTTGCAAGAGAGTGACAAAAAAGGAGGAGAGGACAACAGATGTTTGTTAGGAAAGATGGAGCAAATCCAACCAGAGCAGCCGTCAACCTCAGACGCAGAAAGATAGGAACTCGTCAGTTCATACAGATGCAGAAAGATAGGAACTCGTCAGTTCATACAGATGCAGAAAGATAGGAACTCGTCAGTTCATACAGATGCAGAAAGATAGGAACTCGTCAGTTCATACAGATGCAGAAAGATAGGAACTCGTCAGTTCATACAATAACAGGACAATGACAATCTTTATTCATCCGGCGGGAGAAATTTGTCTCAGTCGTTTACAATGACTGTGGATGTCTCAAAGATTAGGTGCACTTACGCATACACACAAGAAGACTGGACATTAGTAAATACATGTCTCACGTGCAGGAACAACCTGCTCCGTAAAACTCTCTCTCTTTATCTCTCTCCCAATCTCTGTCTCTGTCTCTCTCTCTCTCTCAATCTCTCTCTCTCTCTTTCTCTCTCTCTCTCTCTCTCTCTCTCTCTCTCTCTCTCTCTCTCTCTCTCTCAACCTCTCTCTCAACCTCTCTCTCTCTGTTTCATTTGTAGCACTGTGTGTTCAGTAACCTCATTGCAGTTGGTATGAATAAATTTCTATATATCATCTGTCTGTTCTTGCTTTTTTTTAAAATGTACCGTTTACTGCGGGTCAATAATAGAAATTCCGATGCCAGTGGGTGGCTTAGGTAACTTAGCTTTATTTCAGCCTTCTTTTTAGAACGTCTGTTTTGTGTAGATATTCAAAGTTATTTAGGTCTCTACAAATTAACCATGACCTTGTCACTGCAGGAAAGTTAGTCGGGGCTCTGTTTTCTCTAAACTCTAAGCATGGACTACGCTTCAATAGCACAGTGTCTGTCCCCCTTTCCAAACAAGCACGCCAAAACCATAGTAATTGTTTGGATTTGGGCCTAAAATTAACTATCAATGGTTAAAAAAGTCCCAAAAACTGATTTTTAATTCAAAACTGCTTCGATATACAATGGATCGAAATCAGCTTTTTGATCTCCAGAACAGAGAATGTATGAAGCAAGACATCTAGGACTTGCAATTCCCAAATTTTGGTAGGATTCATACATGTGTTGTCTTTTTGGCATAGTAAAGGAATTAAGGAGCTCATTAAAAAAATCTGAGAGAGAGAGAGCGAGAGAGAGAGAGAGAGAGAGACAGAGGGAGAGACAGATGGACAAAGATATGGACAGAGAGATAAATGGATGAAAAGACACACAGACAAGTCTGGCATGCACATAGCGAAACATGGACATGGAGGACTGATTTTCAGAATCAGAATTTTCTCTTACGCATGTAAATTCTTTGTTTTTGAAATATGTACCCGACTATAGCGGGACATTCAGTTCCAGAAGAAAAAAAATCCCGCTGTAGGCAAGTTTCCGCTACAGGAAAGCAAAGGGGAAATTACTTTTTAAAATTTAAAAAACCAACATGATTACCTCCCTTTCATATCAATAACATTAATTGTGCTTTAGATTAATCTTCCGTTTCCTGTCAACTTCCTTGATTATCTCAGCTTTTAATTTGAGAGAGAAGCAATTCCTTTAGTCTTTGTTGGAAGCTATCTTTTCCTCGGTCTCGTTGCATGTGCTGTTTATCATACCGGTAGGCCAACTGTAGAACTGGTGAAGTGGATGCGTGTGTATGCCTATGAGCATCAAAGATCTCAGTTCAATTAATCAGGAATCTCACACTACACGCTCTCCTCTTTAACTTTTTAGCCTAGCCTATGCCTAGGGATATGGCCTATACGTTCTCATACTGAACGTCTAAGCCTAAGGCACATTACTTTTGGAGCGGTTCACATAATGCATCTCTCCATATCATCTCTCTCTGAGGCCTGTCCCACTTTACTCATCACTGGATTGGCCAATCACAACGCCGCACCGCTGACTGTCATGTTCTACTGTATATAATGATATTTGTACTTAAAGAAAACATTTCCACATCCCACGGATTTCGCTATGTGCATGATAGACTGTACATCGAACCGAGCCCTAAATCTATGAGGTAAAGTAGGCTACATAAGTATACACACACAAACACACACACACACTCACTCTCTCTCTCTCTCTCTCTCTCTCTCTCTCTCTCTCTCTCTCTCTCTCTCACACACACACACACACAAATTACAAACAGGAAGACATCATATTCTTACCTGACCCAGAGTTTCCGCCACCGCTGTTAGTTTGCTTGTTTTTGCCTGGAAGAAGAAAGAAAAAAACAAGTAAAGGAAAAGTCTAAGAGCCTTACAGACAGCACCTGCTGACCCAGCATTGAGGCAATGGGATCACAGTTCGGGTCTCTCTTCATTAAACCCCACAGCCCTGGAGCGGGGCTACTGACTGAAGTGTCTTTAGGCCAATCCCAAAGGAGGGACATTAATATGTTCTTATATAATTGGAAATGCCCTGATTCATCAATGTCATGCTCATAACTGTGCCTGAACTGCAACAGGGAACTGCTGCGTTTTCTTTCCTAATCCTTCGTATCATCATTTTTTCCTCTTCTTCTTTTGTATGTTTGTCACTCTCTTGTGACCTGCTCTTTCCGGGGTGCCTTGATAGTCGAAACAGACTTTGTGCTGTTGAAGCTAGAGATGTGAGCAGAGTAAGTCGATTCCCTGTAAGCATTTCTCTGTTGACATCCATCCTTTGGCGCTCATATGACCTTGTGCAGTTACGAGCCTTGTAAAACCTTTATAAAACTAAACTAACTCCTCTTTCCTCCTCTTCTTCTCTGCTCTCCTTCTTCTCTTCTCCTCCCCCCCCCCCCCAGCGATCCACATTTCCTCTCCCCACCCCCTTTCCCTTTCTCCCTTTTCTCCTCTCCCCACCTCCTTTTCTTTCCTCCCTCTCCTCTTTTCCCCCCCCCCCCCCCCCGATATCTCTCCCCACCTCCTTTTCCTTCCTCTTCCCCTCCCCCTGCCATCCCCCTTCTTCTTCCCTGGCCCCCTGCCTTTTCTCCTGAACACCTTTTTCTTTCTCTCCCCCCCCCCCCCATTTAATTTCTCCCCCTCTCCTCCTCCAACCTCTCCCAAATTCTATTGCTTAGTAAACAGTCAATCCGTTTGCCCCTTCCTCCCCTTTCTCCACTGAAAACCTTCAGGCCTACAGGTGACAATTAGTAATATCGCTCATACAATAATCTTGACAGAATCAAGTACGCAAATTCGAAAAAAGTAATGTATTCCACCAACTGTCCACAAGGAAAAGAACGATGAAGAATCGCCAGATCTTCCTCTAGATGTCACACTAGGACCTTCATTATTACTGAAGATTTTGTAAGGCAACTATTAAGGGAAAATAATGATGATGTGATGATTACGATGATGATGAAGGTGGTGATGGATGTACTGAAGATGATTGCAATGAAGATGTGGGGAATATCTTTAGTCCCAGGGGGAGAATGACTCTTTTTTATTTTTCTAAACCTTATCAACGCCATCACTTTTCTCTTTTCTTCATGTTTTATGCCCCTTTCAACCCACTTTAGATCAAACAGAAAGCAGGTTGCTGTGACCCGCTTTTTTTAGACCAATCTGCAGGACTTATTTCAGCAGAAATTTCCGAAAGAAAACCCACACTCGACCTAACATCTTTGGCCCTGTGAGGATGAAACTCATTTCTTTCGCATGCAAGACAATGAGCCTAACTATTACACAAAAGATGCAAGTAACATTCTCAACCTCTCCCATTGGGAACATATAAATTATTAAAAAAAGAAATTTTAAAAAGGGAAGTGCAATTCTGTAAACAAATCATACATATAATATGTCCAAAAAATAATAATTCTGGATTCAAAATACCACTGTGGTTTTCATGACATGGTTTTCTTGCTAAAAAATAAGAGAGAATCCCACAGCAGCAGGTCCTCCATGAGAAAAGGAAATTTTCGGTTCCAATTAGCTGGTCCCGGGATAAACATCCTTTCTGCTGCTTCGATGACCTTGACATCAATTATTCAAGAAAATATAATATGCACTGAATTGTTTTCAAGTTTTAGACTACAGCCCACAAATCAAACACCTTTAAAACTGCATCATGTGAATGTTCAATTCAAAATATTTTGTGACAACACTCTCCATTCGGACTTAAACGTCCCATAATATAAGGGTGTACATATTTCGGTTTCAAATTTTCAAAAGTTATTCTAAATTAAAATGAAATGATAGCTGCATGGAATTGAACATTTTAAAAACATGGGTTCTAGAACTGTCACAAACAGTGGCAACAGTACTAATAATGCCATTATAAATTCATTCAAGTTAATACAAAACATGGAATCCTAACATATTTTGTGGGAAAAAATAACCCCCCAAAAATAACATACTTGTACATTTTCTGCTTCTCTTTCGATCAGCATATTCACAGGGACAAAATACATACAAAAGAATAATCACCATCTAAAGAAAAATATATAAGTAAAAAATAAGCCATCAAATCTTCATACATAACTGCTAACTTAGAATGTATTCATGTACTCAAATATGCAGACAACTTCAGATTATCTGTCAATTTTTACAAAATGGTTCATGTACATAAGTGGTGATGGAGCCTGAAATTTGACTTCATAAAATGAAAAATGATACACATTCACATTGTGGAACAAGATAAATCATTTCTGAATTGACAATGATTTCCTGAAACTTGAGACATTTCATAACCTTTAAACTTCTCACCTTGTGGTTCTGCAAATATGCCTCCTTCATCTTCACCTTCTTTCTCTGCCTCAGCTAAACGAGTGCGATATTAAAAGACAAAATACGGTCAAAGTAATATTGTGAGTCTTCTTTTCCTTCTTCAGTAAAAAGAAAATTATTTTAATCAAAAGTAAAAATACAGTCCAAGTAATATTGTGACAGCATTCTTTCCCCTCCTTAGCTAAATGAATGTGATCGTAATTGAACGCAAAATACAATCAAGATAATATTGTTGCTGCATCTTTTCCCTTCCTCAGCTTATAGAATGTGGTTGTAATGAAAGGTAAACTACAGTCAAAGTTATGTTGTAATGGTGTAGGACATAACCAGAGATATGTAATTTGGCAACAATGTTGTACCATCTCTCAGACAAAGAATTAAAAAAAAAACCTAAATATAACATTCAAGCAGAAAGACTGAGATACTCATTAAAAAATCTCCCCACATGGGAATCAAACTCGGGTCTCCCACATGTCATAGTGAAGCACCTAACCCACTACACCACACCGCCAGTGGTTGAGAAGTGTAAGCCTTTGCCAGAAGACACAACTATAAATAGGCCTTCACAATAAACCACTTTAAAGACGGAAATTGTATATTGAATTTGATTCATTTTACACACTATTTCTCCAAGCAGCGTTTTCTACATAATTTCATAGGATTGGTGGCTAAAAATAATCAAGGTCAGCTTGCCTTAAAAAGTTATTTGACGTCAGGATCTACTTACAAATCCTGTTCTGATATTAGTCAGAATGATGAAGAAGACTTATTTTTATTATGGTAAGTGTTCAGTGAGTCAATATTTCAGAGCAATCAGTCCAATGTTTATCTAATTTAGAGATGAGAAGAAAAAAACAACCTAAATCAGAATCGATAAAATTATAATTTGTTGAAAAAAAATCTTTCTTCAAAACTCAAAATATCTAATGTTTAGAATAATAATGCCTTTAAAACTCAAAACTCTCACCTTCTGCTTCTGCAATTGCAACTTCAACCTCTTCCTTGGCTAAATGAGTGCGAAGTTGAAGACAAAACACAGAACAGTGAAAGTATTGCGGCAGCACTGGTCATAACTGAACTCATATTTCCCCCTCTGTCTAATGATGTAGGAAAATACCGCTCAGATCAGAAACATTCTTCAAGGATCTCAAGTGACGGCAATCTTAATTTTCGAATCATCTTACCTCCCATTGTGCTTTCCAGTTTTAAGAAAAACCCCCCCAAAAACCCAATAAAATTTCAAGCTCTCTTGTTGTTACCATCAGTCCAGCTATAAAATAAACATCTTTTGAAAACATCTTTAACGAAATCAGGGAGTTTTTATCTTGAAAAGATGCATTATGAAACTGTCTTACCAACAATGACTTCCCCCTTCCCTCTATCTCTTTCTTTCCTCTCTCTCTCCCTCTCTGTCACTCTCTGTCTCTTGCTCTCTCTCTCTCTCTCTCTGTCTCTCTCTGTCTCTCTCTCTCCCTCTCGGTCACTCTCTCTCTCTCTCTCTCTCTCTCTCTCTCTCTCTCAACTTTGCTACCTCCCTCCCTTCCTCCTAGAGGAGTATAAAGAATGCCCAATGCATGTGCTCACCCATTAACTATCTTAAATCTGTCACGTAGGTTGAGTTAAATATAAATAAAGTTAAAAGACAGTCTGCTTTAATGAGAAGAAGAGTGGCCATCTTAGACAGGTGGCCACTTTACAGTGTCATCAAAATGTAAGAAATACACAAGGCAAGAAATGGGAAGTGGCCGTTTGTACAGGTGATAGTCTTATACAGGTTGCCGTTAGAACAAGTTCGACTGCACTACACCAAGCAAAACAACCACACGTAATGGACCAAAATACTGCCAAGCCATATGTAAGGAGGGCGCTGCTGATCTGAACATCTTTTCAAAGTCATGCACCTATGTTGTGCAATCACTTGACTCTCATATAATGGGTACATACAAATGAATAAAAAATACACAACAGATGTAAAGCAGGCCTGCCATGAAAACGCTTCACACTAGCAGAATCTGGGAGCAGTATATGCTAAGCTTGCAAAAAAAAAAATAAAGGACAAGAAAACAGCCTGGCACAGCAAAACTAAGCATAAATAATCAAGAAACATTTTCAAAGATTTTCTTCGTCAGAAAATGTTTGAAAAAAAAAGCAAAAAGAATCTTGGATACACTCACATTTTGTAAGTACCAGAACTGAAATAACTGAAAGCAACATAACACATACAGGCCAGCACACACATATTATTATAAACACATACCCACACATATATACACACGCGCGCACACACACACACACACACACACACACACACACACACACACACACTGCCTCTCTCTCTCTTTCTCTTCCTTCTCTCTCTCTCTCTCTCTCTCTCTCTCTCTCTCTCTCTCTCTCTCTCTCTCTCTCTCTCTCTCTCAAATGCACACGCACACACAGACACACATACACACTCACATACACACACACATACACAGAGTCTCTCTCTTTCTCTCTCTCTCTCAAACACGCATACACACATACACACACACACACACACACACACACACACACACACACACACACACACACACACACACACACACACACACAGATTGAATGCTATTCTTTAAAAGAACACTTAAGAAAACATCCCAAGGCTGTCACTCTTACAGATAAAGAAAAACAAAACTTTTTTCCAAACATCCAATTATTGATCTATTCCAATCTCCTTCACCTTCAAAGATTCATCATTCACTTGTAAGAGATATCTGCACTTAACCCTAACTAACAGTACATGTGTTTAAAAATAAACAAAGACACAAATCACAACTCAAAATCAGTAAAGCCAAAAAAATCAACACCACACATGGGGTAGCATACAGGACACATAAGGTCCCTTTTCATACATTTCACAAGCCAGTCAGGAAATTTGCTAATGATTTCAAAGAGATATAGACTATATACAATTGCAATAATGACTGCGTATTAAAAAAACTGTACAAAGAACGCAGCCAAAAAGTCAGCACGGCAAATATAAAAGAAGGGGAGGGACACATAGGCCTGCAAAATAAATATCTGTCATTGCAAAGCCAATCACAGCGCAAACTTGGATGTCAGCGTTTCATAAAAGTAAGGAAATAAAAATATGTAAAAAACCCACAAGTATAGCTAACACTGCTGGGAGAAATCTCTTTCAATAACATGTATTACAGCAGTCTACATATCTTGGGCTGAGAACCAGAATGAACCATGTCTATCTAAGCCAAAACACTAAAAAAGAGCTTAAATCTTTGTCTCCAAAGGTGGTAAACCCACAAAGAACGTACTATACGGAGCCCTTTTTTAGTACTAAATCTAATAATGACAAAAACGTCACTAAATTGGTAATTAAATCAAAACAAGTGAACCTATTTTGATAGTTCTTTGTCTTTTGAACGAAATCCCAATAAAAGAGACCAGTTTTCGGCAATTGCAGAAAAGTAATTTGATGTCGAAGTCGTCGTAAAGGAATGTGCCCGAACGGCTGTCAGTGGCTCACCAACACAGAGGTCTTCAAATGATGTTACATCATAACTGTAATAACTATCATAACCAATCTGTCCGGCAGTTTGGAAGCAATTGCAATTCCTGATGTGTCTATGTCCAAGAGCTGATCAATACCTTGCCCTAACAATTGTGTCACGATGCGGTGGAATCAGGCGCTCGTCAAGTTTTGGACATGTGGAGTTATTGGTATCATTTGAAGGCTTGTTCATTTGTCTTGCTTTTGGTGAAAAAAAAACAACCAAACTAATCTATCATGAATAGAAGTTGAGATATTTGGGATTGGAGGAGGTGGGGGTCACCACCGAAATGTGTTTTTAAATGAACCTTAAGGTGTTGAGTCAAACAAAAAAATTTTGTAAAAAATTCCCTAACCGACAGAAAAATGCTAATTTCCTTGATTTCCTTATTTTGATTGGCGCTTGATTTCACCACGGTGCCTCACAATTCGTTTTTCTCAAAATAAGGAATAATAATATGGACACAGTCACCTGTAGCCCTCAGCTGAGGAAAGGCCTATATCAAAATACAAATATAAACTGCACAGCATTCCATCAAAAGTTACTTCAGCTTTAAAACATTAATGTCATTTCTAATGGCCACAATACAATTTATCTGTGAAACTGAAATCATTCATGTCCATATTGGGAAAAAAAGCAAAGGATATCTATTTCACTAACTTGATAAATATTTTTTCTGAATAGAGGTCGCAAAAAGCAGGTATTATGTTAGTTGACTTTAGAGTTTTAGAATATTTTAACAATTTATAGTAAATGTGAGGGCCTAAGATATAATCCGAATCAAAACACAACATCTAAAGCGCCTTAAGGATTGATCTGTAGCCTATGTCTCATGGTGAATTAGTAAACTAAAAAACAAACAGCTCTGATTACACAATCAATGCATGTCACAGAGACATGAGCAACATGAAAACAAAAGAAAGATTGCTTCTGATTCCCTTATTTGGTATTGTTTCCAAGGACACGTATGCTCTCTCTCTCTCTCTCTCTCTCTCTCTCTCTCTCTCTCTCTCTCTCTCTCTCTCTCTCTCTCTCTCTCTCTCTGCCTGTCTTTGCTCACTTCCTGCCTGTCACCCAAGGAAAGGCAATTGTGAGAGTGCGCATGTGTGTATTTGTGTGAGTTTGTGTGTGGGTGTAGGCCTACATGTTTGTGCAGTTATGAGCAATAATTTGTAGGCCCTTCATATTTCACTAAGACAAGTCAATTTTTTTCAAAGACTTAAATATATACCCAACTAGATACTAAACAGAAAAACAAATAGTAAAATTTAATACAATCAATAAACCACCACGGAGGGGGGGGGGGGGGATAAAGGGAAACAATTAAAATTTTGCAGTAAATTGTATCTGTTACGTCCCCTTACCAAGGTGAAATGAGAATGATAAATCATAATAATTTGTTATTGTTATGCTTTAGTATGATTCAGTCAAACACACTTTTCATTGCATTAGCAATGCGTGGAGCTCTTAAATTCTAAAATGGTGATGGAAACAGATGATAGATGAGACTATTACTGTAAAGTTATGAGAGTATGAACTGTTAAGTTACCAGAATATTGTACATATCTTTCTTCAATAAAACCGACTGAAGGAGCCAAAAACTCCATAATATTATTATACATATGTATTTCTGTAGACAACTCTAGCTAAAGAATGCCAATTCTTTGGAGATTCGAACCAAAATCATCCAATCCACAGTCTACATATTACTATAAGCTCTACCAATTTAATGAATTGCCAGCACATTCAGATGTTGAGCGAAATCATGAGATCTAAATTCCTTACAATGGTAATACCTTTTTCTCCTATTTTTTGTTCTTTCGTCATTGCTTTACACTAAAAATCTATGAAATATTATTTTTAAAAGGTTTTTTTTCCTTGCAAAATCTGATTTTCTCTACCTGGGGTAACTGAAAAAAATATTTAAATTAGTACTTAGGCAACTGAAGTTTAAGGCTTGTAAAAAAATCTAAAGTATGCGCAACATCTAAAACAAGGGACTACTTCAGCAATTTTCAAACAGAAAAAAACACATCCAACAAAAGAATGGAATTGTAGTCTACCCTTTAGGAACTTAACTTGAAGATATGATTACATTTCCAAACACACAGCTAGGTACAATATCAAATTAGTTGGGATGTAGTTGACAGGAAAATATATTCTTTAAAAAAATAAATCCACAGAAGATGAAAATACCACCAAAAAAAAAATCCCCTCCGACAACACAGAATCATGTACTTCTCTCATATCCTCCCCTCCCACCATCTTCTCCCCCTCTCTCCATCCTCTCTCCCTCCCCATAGAGAATTAATCCTACAAAAATGATAACACACTCAAGAAAAACAAAAGAGCAAAATAAACTGTACAGAAATAGCAAAGATAGCCTACAATGACAGGAAATAAATGAAAATGTAAAAATAAAACAACAAAAACGATTAAAGCAGCACACACACATCAGTTTCAACTACTTATTGGAAATAATAAGCTGGCGGGTCACTTTTCTTTTGTGACCATTTGAGCCAACCTGTAACGTTTTTAATTACTATATAGGCCTATACCGAGAGCGAGAGATCAGAGACTGAGAGAGACAGAGAGAGAGAAAGAGAGAGAGAGAGAGAGAGAGAGAGAGAGAGAGAGAGAGACAAAGAGAGACAAAGAGAGAGAGAGACAAAGAGAGATAGAAAGACAGAGAGACCAGAGGGCACACACGATATATAAAAGAAACATTTATATACATATATATATACATATATATTATATATACACACACACACACACACACACACAAATGTACATGGATATGTATTGCACGTACAGGAGTATAAAAGCACGCAAAAGGAACAACACACTGGGAACACATTACATACAGTATAGCACGGATAAGCTGAACACAGAAGACTCAAAGTCACGCATCTGTCGAACTGTACCTGCAGTCCCGTTTTTTTTTCTTTTCTTTGTCTTCGTAAGATGTCCTTTGAACTACAGATCCCTCGAACTACCGAGGCTGGTCCCGACATATTCGAGCTATCCGTGTTATATTGTACACAGCCTTCCACAAACTGACAATTCTTTTTTTTTTTCTTACATTATATGCAATACTGAAGCACAATTATGCACAGAAAACATCTTAGTCATCAAAAATACAAGAAAAGGTTCACAACAATTATTATTTCTGTCTTACAGAACTTGATGAAATCAACATACCAGATTCATCCAATGTAACTTTCACATCTTCAAAATAGAAAATCATAACAAGCGAAATCTTTTATCAGTACCGTATTCAATAATCATGAAAATTTTCACTTTATCACAGCATTTAGACAACAAAAAATGCATCTCAGATTCAGTTACTGTTATTCATCTAAATATTTAGTAGCCAGCCTAAAACAGACAAAAGAAAATCTTAACAAGCGAAATTATTTACCAGTATTCAATCTTAAAAATGTCCACTTTAAGTCTCTTGAATTAGATAAAAAATGAGGTATCGGTATTCATACACTAGAAGTCAAATGACTCACCACTTGGAAAAAAAAGTCTGGAGAAAACAACCGTATGGACCGGCTCACCCAAAAATTATCCTCAAAATTCTTGATCAATTGTTTAGGCTAATTAAAATTACTGGAACATTGATCAATTCCTATATTTATTCTTTTTTCTAAATATCCAAATAAATTGATACGAATATTGTATCTCTGAGAAAAACTTGATAGCATCAATTTTTTTTTCACATTATATGCAATACTGAATCACGGTAGTACGAATTATGAACGGCACTCGGTTTTTTTTGGTACTTACCAGAGTTGTCCGAGTTCCCCGAGGAGCCTTATCAGACAAACGATAATAAAAACGAACGATTACTTCCAGAATACATTAGGCCTATATAACTATCTCAAAGTGAAGGACTAACTGTTATATTTCCAAAAGATAGGTAGATATGTTCTACGCGAAAGACCATGACCATCAACATATTATTTTGGGTTCATCTACTTGTCTTAGGAATTAAACTCATGATGAGAAAATTTCTTGCTTTAGGACTGGTTATTTTGTCGGGAATAATAAGTTATATATAATGTATGGTATTCTTAAAGCCCTGTACGCTAAAATATTTCTTAAAAGACGGTGTTACAAAACAATCAAATCATTTTATCTCCCTTACTAAACAATACCATGTGCTATTATAAATACAATTGTGACAGACAGGGTGAGTTTTTTCCAGTATTGGTATGATTTCAACGAAAGCTTATCCTTTAAAAAGCATTGCACTGAGACATCCCAGTCAATTTTTGCAATAGCACGTTTGATACTTGTAAGCATGCTCTGCAGACTAGCATAATTTTTTGACTGACGTAACATTTCATAAGTGATCAGACAGAAAAAATGCTTTCTTCTTCTTCAAGTGTCAGGTCTGTAACAGACAATGGGGCAAACAAATAGCCCATCATTTCTCTCCTCACATGCTCTCTAACAAATCCAGTTAACATTTTTATAACCTTGTGTCTTGACACCACCCATCTGTTCAAGTTCTTTAAGTAAAGTTATTGCTGGTCTACCTCTGACTCTCCTACTTTCAACTTTTGTTGTAAGAGCTAGATGTTCAAGGCCATTGCCCGTCAATCCAAGTCCCGAGGACCATATTTGTCTCTCTGTTTTCCCACTCTAAAACCTCTTTGTGATTGACATCGAGCCTTCTATGGGGAGTGTAAAATACTTATAGAGTATTGCTTGAACTTTTTGTACTGGCCTATGGCTACACCTGAGCCTACTCACAAAGTGTTCACCACACACTGTATAAACCCATACAATGTAATTATTCATAACACAATTAAAGATTAAAGAAAAATATGTAAAATTGAAATAGAAAATGTTGTACATTGTGACAACACAGCTGAAACCTGTCTATTGTCATTGTAATTGCAACAATGTTAATACCTTAATTTCTCTTCTCCAGCTTTTAACCATCAAAAATCAAAAAGTCCTAAACCATTTTGGGGTCAACACACTCATTTCAAGACTTTAATAAGAAGAATATTAAGCTAAAAGACCTCAAACAGATTTTTGTTTACATTCAGTAAAAAAAATTTCACACTGAACACGTCGAGAAAAAAGTTTCTGAAAACTCACCTGATTCATATTTCTCAGAGTGCTTATTACCTTTTCCGGAAAGAAGGAAAGCCACAGATTAGAGGAGTGTGTGACAGTGAATCATGAAAACAGCCAGGAGTGATACTTTTAAGTGAAAGTGACCCAAATAAATATGAAAGCTTATTCCCAAAAACAATTCTATATCTTACTACTTTGCAAAAAAAGGAAAAAAGTGTTTTAAGTATAATTTTCTACTTTTGAGGTTGAAAACGACATTTGTAGTATAGTTAAAACTCTACTTTGCACAATGTAAAGTATTTTAAAAGAGTACTGATTAATAACCTAAAATTGGCCCTAATATAGAAATATAATTTTGACAAGAAACATTCCAGGAAAGATAATAAAATGCTATGCTTTGATTCAAAGCTGAAAATTACTAAGAGAAGACCCAGTTTTAAAACTAGTGTGTCACAGGGTGGGCCTATTCATGACACAATTATTGCTTGATTCAGGTCGATCATTAAATATTCCACGTCCTTCCTCTGTGCAATATTTTTACCCTGCGGATTCTTTGGGAGTTCAAAAGAAAAAGAATGAGTAAGCCTACTAGTTTGATAGTGATATCGTCGTCAAGCTAATACAATGTACTAAGTCCACAAAGCAAAATGTTTCAGGAGAGAGAAAAAACTATTTCACAACTTTTACAAATTGTACCTTCATTATGTACGCCTATCTTTTCTTGCTTTTTTTCCCCATTTAGAGTTTGAATTTCGACCAAATATTTCACGAGCATAAAATGTGACTTATACCATAGATTAAGAAACGGCAATAGAAATTTGGGGCTTAGCTCATCTGAGCAGCTGGTTGATGGTATGACATTTGGACCAGTATTTATAGGTTCATTGTGGGTATTGAAGGATCGTCGGTGGCCTAGTGGTTAGGCTCTCGGACTCGTAACCGTAAGGTCGTGGGTTCGAATCCCGTCAGGGGCCCGACGTTGTGTCCTTGGGAAAGGCACTTTGCACAAATTTTCCTCACTTCACCCAGGTGGAAATGGGTACCCGGCTATAGACAGTGAAAGATCTTGTCAGTTTGATAGTGTTTGAGCGCGTGAAATCCGCAGCTTGCACTGTATGCTTCCGTGGAAGCTGAGAATGTTTCTGAGTGTTCTCAGAGGGTCTGCTGGGGTAATAATAGTTGTAAAGCGCATAGAGCATGCTCTTGAGCATGGATATGCGCTATATAAATGCAATTATTATTATTATTATTATCTAAGGTTAAAATATCATTTGTTTGTTTATTGTGATTTTTTGCAAAATAACTTTTAACATGACTGTCCCTCTACAGGGCATAATGTTTTATCAAAAGTCTGGGTTTTAAAGCACTTTCATAGATGTTTCACAGTTCAATATGCTCAGAGAATACCCCTAGATTGGCCTCAATAATATTATGCTCATAGGTTGTGTGTGTTTTTTGTTTTTTTTTCATTAAAAAAAAGGCCACTCCACACGTGACAAAAAAAACATGAGAGAAAAAAATACAAACAGTCCATCAATGTAACGAAATTTTTTGCCAGCACCTTGATCCAATTATGTTTCATCATTAGGTCTACAATTCCAAATAATAGGCAGTGGAAACATTTTTTTAAAATACACAGCAGTTATGAGAAAAAGATTAAAAACTTAATTATTGAAAAATTATAAAGTTCTTCCAAAATTTGAATTTAATTAATTAAAAAAAAACTAGTCACAGTTTCACTTTCATTTTTTCAACAAGTAGGGTAACTGATCAGGCTTTCGATTTTGCAAATATTAAATTTTGGCGCCAAAATGAAAAAAAGGTGTTTTGTGTTTTGTCGGCTTAAAGTGAAGCACTTGTGGTCTTCTTCAAATATGAACAGTTGTGTGCAGAGAAGTTCAAAATGTTTGACTGTTCAGTGCTTATTTATCTATTGTGGCAATGTTCAAAGTTCTCGATCACAATTGATGAGATATTTTGGACAAAATGAAGTTACTCGGTCAGACAAGTGAGAATTATTTGATTTGAAAAGGTCCAGTGAAAAATAGGGCAAGTCCATTTTTAGAAAAAAATCAGGTTTATATCTCTTAGCTTACAACAGCACCGGTAGAATATCCCAAATCAAATCAATCAAGTGAAAAAACAACTAACAAAGCATTTATGAACAGTATTTTAAAAAGCAAACCACGATAAGAACAACTTAAGTCCATCATTTAAAAAAAAAAGAAGAAAAACAGGCAGGTTTAATACAATACTTAACCTGTTTTTTTTACTTGACCTCTTCATATTCATATGCTTTCTCCTCAGCTTTCCATCTCCCTCCCTCCAGTGTTGTGAAAGATTCAAGGCTATGCCAGTAACAACAATAATGTTGGGTGAAAAAAACCCACGCAATCGTGAAACAAAACTCCAGCCCAGCTGAGGCCTGAGTACTCACCAAGCCAACACGACACTGTACTGGCGTCATGTTTTTATAAAAGATACAAGAGATATTTGAAACAAAAAGCAGATAAAATACAATAGCACATAAAAGCCAGTCAGGGCAAGATACCCCCAAAGAATAATTATAACTTACAGCCCTTTCTGAAAATGAGGAAATTCATGTCAAAAGAAATTACTAAGATAATAACTAGGCTAATCAACACATTGTCTCCATATCTGCATTAAAAAATATACATAATATACATGAATATGAAAATAATAATTCATGTATCAACGTAATGATACTCTATTTGTGAATAATAATAAAAAAACAGCACTGGTTTAAAAAAATTATAATCTGACTGAGAAAATACATTTGAAAAAAAAATCAACACAAAATATTAATTATAATACAAAATAGTATTAAACCTCAGGTGAAAAATACTATAAAATAACGTACTATGATTTTTAGACAAAAAAACAAAACTTTAATCAAGTATTCTACAACATCCACTCATCTCTGTTTGACTCGAGTTCAAACCAAATCACTTTAACTTTTTCCAGGCTCCAAACAGGACATGGGATGAAAAGGACAATTTGGTCAAGGAGAAGAAAATGAGCTGGTACGGAGAGAGTGAACAGGGATAATACGAGTATGTTTGAAGTGAGAACGGTAACGGAAACTTACATATTGTCTCATATTGCTGCATTCCAGTAACGGTTTGTTGGATTGACGATTTGATGTCTTGGTTGTCACAGGAGTTCACAATTTTCTCTAGACACATTTTCGCCTTGGAGATTTTTCTGAAAAAAACCCAACATTATTATGTACATTATCATTATGCACGCATGATGCCAGTAAGTTCAGTCTCATATATTCAGTTCAGATATCAACCTTTGTTGTAAATCATTCCATGAACACTTTGAACTTTTGAAATGCCTGCGAAGGACGAATATCATAATATTTATACTTTTACATAAATGATGTGAGGCGTGCTGACAAAATGAGTTTCTTCTCGCAATCCACAAGTAGAGTTGTTTGTCAAAACTAAAAACTTGGGTTAAATTTGTAGATTTTCTATTGATGCCATATTCTATACCTAGTACTCCATACGTAAAATTGTAAAAACTTCACCTATAAGCGTGATGAATCTATTTCCATAGGTCTTGAATCCGAAAAGTAACTCATTTTGTCAGCATGCCTCACACATCGTATAAACAATATATTATGATATGTGAGACATCAAGGTGAAATCAGGTGCTCCGAAAAATAATGAACTCACAGAAACTGATCATTTTCCACCCGTTTGGCAATTTTTATCGAATTTTTGCTTTTTGGCTCAACACCTTTTAAGTCCATTTATCAACACATTTATCAACACATTTATCAACACATTTATCAACACATTTATCAACACATTTATCAACGCATTTATCAACACATTTATCAACACATTTCTGCATGGGTTTTAGGCCTACAGAAAATCTTTGATCAAAGGCACAGAAATGTGAATAAGTAGTTTCAATTTTTCCAAAGACTTTACAGCTTTGGAAGTCACCAAACTTTGGCAACCTTTTTCAGGCTCATTTTACAGGGATGCCACTCCCAACTTTTTTTTAAATAGCTGAAAATCCATGCGCCACGGTCTCGCTAACATATAATTATCAATTTGAAACCCAAAGGGTGTAGGCTACATAGAGAGAAATATGACAAACAAACAAAAACAATTGGTGTGCATAAAAAGAAATTACAAACATTTAAAGAAAAATAGATTACATGTTTTTTTTCCAACTATAGATTCTATCTCAATCTCAACAGCAGAATAGCGGATCAGGATCAAAATACCAGAAATACAGGAGAAAAGCGGAAAAGTGGCACCCCTTATTTTACCTCTGACACCTGGTGACCCCCAGCCCCTTTAGTCACAAATATCTCAAATTCTGTTCAAAATAGTAGGGTATTTTTCACACTGAAAGCAAGACAAATAAACAAGTTTTAAGATAATGCCAATAACCACATATGACCAAAGATTGATGAGCCTCTGACTCCACTGTTTTGTGACACATATATATATATATTATTAAGATTTTGTTTGTTTTGTTTGTTTTTGTAAGTGTTTTACGGCGCTCGCAACTGCATAAGGTCATATGAGCGCGTG